GTGGGTGGGCAGGAGGTAAAGAGCTCCCTGTCTCCCCACTCCAGAAAACATGTTTGCTCCCGTTTCAGCTCTATATGCTTCCCAAAGATGGTGGAGTTGGATAAAAGGATGGCTCAGTATTATAAACAGACCCATATTGTCATCTTTTTCCATATAAATCTACTTTGTAAAAAATGTGTCCCAAACCACAGGGGGCTGGGATCCAGGTGAACCCTCTGCTGGTGGCCTGAGATTAGTATTCTTGCTACATCTTTTAGCAGCATAACCAAAAGTTATCAGCAGGCAGCCAGCCAGCTTTCAATCTCAAGAACTGCAGCCCAGATCGCAGCGGCACTTGCAGATGTTAGAGGAAGACTTAGACACCCTCGCACCAGCTCATGCCACCACTAAGCCTCTGTAAGGCATCTAATGGCCTGAGACTAGGGGTTTCTGGTGAGAAGGGAAAGGAACAGCTACTTCTTTTGAAAATGCTGATGAGAAAAAAATAATAACCTTCATGAGAAGATACAAAATATTCCATTCTAGATTGCGGGATTCTTTTTTCTTTGGCCATCGTCCAAGCCTGAGGGAGCGAGGGTGCTGCGTGCCAGTTCCCAGTCCCCTCCCATGGGCCCCTCTGTTGCGGGCAGTTAGTGAAGCAGGTTCACAAGTGAGGGGAGGAAACTCTGGGGTGTGGGGGAGGACGGAAGGGAGGACATTCTCTAGTGACAGTGAGGGGCTGTGGTCATCGAGGGCCATCCCCAGGGACCCCTACTCTCCATGTACAGTGGGGGTTCAGGTCCCCCACCCAGGGCTGACTTCATGAGGTACAACCTTTGCAGGTGCACAGGCCCCACATTCAGAAGGCCCTCATGCTTGTTTTAATGTGCTGCCTTCATTGTCCTGAAATTCTTAATTTTTAGACAAAGGTCCCACATTTTCATTTTGCACTGGACCTCACAAATTATGTAGCTGGTCCTGGTCCCACTCTCTCAGAAAAAGAAGACCACATAGTGTGAGCCAGGTTTGGAATCTTTTATTAGAAAGCAGGTCTCAGCAAGACTAAATGTTTGTTGTCTCTTTTTACTGGAAGGCCTTTGGGTCAGTTTACAGCTTGGTTTAAGGCCCCTGAGCCACCTTTCATATGTCTCAGTGATGTGGCCTCCTTCTGAGGTGGAAACCCCAGCAGTGCCAATGTCTGGTATAATGTTCCTGCAGCAGGGATCTGCACCTGACTGCTGGCTTCAAGGGCAGCCCAGGGTGAGGGGTCAAACCTCACAGCCTCGATTATCTGGGGTCAAACCCAGCCACTGAAAAGCACAGCTCCAGCTTTCCATTGGCTGAGGCTGCCTACAGAGCAGATGCGCAGACACAGGGCATTGTCAACAGCACAGGCACTGACCCAGAGGCATGAAACCCCCAGCAGGAGGGGCCAAGAGCAGCTCACCAGGTTACCACTCCCTCTGATGATCTCACCTTTGGCACCTTCGGCTAGGTCTTGATCTCAACAAACCAGAGGAACTGTGCCACCTGGTGGTATTCAACTGAATTTTAGGGATAGCTATAACTATGGAGACCAGTTTTTCCAAATGAAGAATTAAGACATATGGACTCACAGAAAGAATACCTGAGACTATTCTGGCAATCTAAATGGATGGTCTTCACTGTTAGAGCAGCAGATTTAACAAGCTTGGGTGGTCCTGGAACCTGCTCCCCTGCCTATCTCTGCTGATAGTACATCTGGGATGTAGGGTCTAAAAACATGAAGGATAAGAAGTGTTGGTCTTAGTCACCTCTATCCCTAGCATTTCCCATAGTACCTGACACAGAGGTCTCAACCTGGCTGTACTTTATACTCACCTGGGAGTTTTTAAAGCTCCAGATGATGGGCCCAGGTCTGATATGTTTTCAAAGCTCCCCAGGTGTGTCTAATGTTGAGAACCACTGGCCTAACATGTAGCAGAAACTTGATAAATATTTATCGAGTGGTCCAAAAAAGCCCATAATATTATTAATCAAGTTTTATTTAAAGAGGAATCCCGCAGCTGGGGCAGTTAAGGTTTTCTTCACTGAAATAGTCTGCTTTATTAAGTGGGATCTATTTCATGGGAAGCTACAGGTAACCACGCAACTGGCCCCTCTCCTCTCTGCCCCACCCCACAGCGCTTCAGAGCTCCTCTCAGGTGCTAAGATGCAGTGAATCCTTACCTTGACTTGGGAGATCATTTTATAGCTCCAAGTGGTATAATATTCTTCTGGAAAATGCCTAACTTGATTTTAGAGAAAAAAGTAAAACATCTTGAGCATCTTGAAAAGTGATAAATTTTCAACCTATTTTCCCAACTTCTGCTGGAACATCAACTTATCCTGGAGAAGAGGCTCTGGAGAGACATGGCAGACTTTTCTAGCCACCACAGTTCCATTTAGTGACCAGGGCATTTGAGTTCATGCAGGAAATTCTGGCATTTTCCCAGACAGAGACTTCAGCTGATTAAATAATGTATGGGCACCTAGATAGCCTCTG